ACTTGGGGGGCTCAGTTGGTTAAGCCTCCGAGTTCAGCTCAGGTCGTGATCTCACGGTTCGTGGGTTCGAGCCCCACGTCGGGCTCTGTGCTGACAGCTCGGAGCCTGGAGCCTGCTTCCGATTCTCTGTCTCCCTCTCTCTCTCTCTCTCTGCCCTTCCCCCACTCATACTCTGTCTTTGTCTCTCCCTCTCTCAAAAATAAATAAACATAAAAAAAAAAAAAACAAAACCACATCATGGCCCTTTCTGTGGTAACAGCTTCCTGCTGTTGCTCATCTTCGGGCGTCCCAACATCTCCTATTGGTTTCCTCTCTCCAGCCCACAACCCTGGAAATAGTCCCATTATTAAAACCTCTCAAAAACTCACAATGGAATGTGTCACCCGCTTCCCGCCAGGGCCCTTCCCAGTGCAAGAAGGAACAGTGAACGAGACAGACGCCATGTCTTGCCCCTTTGGAACTTCCGTTCTGGTGGGGAAGGCGGACGATGTGTTAGCTCACAAGTAAGTAAGCCAGAGAGGCCTTCGGAGACCAGCGAGCGAAATACAGCAATGAACGGCCCAGAGGCTGGCCAGGAGGGCTCTGTGAGCTAGGCTGGCCCAAGGTGGCCCTGGAGAGGACCCAGCCGGGCTGAGTCTGAATGGAGGAGAGGGCAGGTGTGGTCACCAGGTCCCAAGTCGGGAAGGATCCGGATGCTCTGGGAACAGAGAGGAGGCCCACGTGGCTGGAGCAGAGTGAGCAGGGCGGACATGGAGGTAAGAGATGATATAGGAGATTCAGGCGGGGGCCAACAAGGAGTTTGGACAAACTAGGAAGCAACACCACACGGAAGGTGCTCAGCGAGGCACCCATGTGATCCAGGTTCCCTTGTGGATTACTCTCTGCTTGTTTCCAGAGCACAGAGGGTGGGAAGGAGGCAGGAGTGGAGGCCCAGGGTCCAGTCGAGGCTCGACCAGCAGCTCTGAGAAGGACGTGGGGACCAGGAGGGCCTCGGAGAGACCTCAACACATTGGGGAATGAGGGCTGTCGAGACAACATGGCTGCTGGTCCCAAACCCCCTTGGATCCACTTTTCCCAGCTTCGTGCCCCTTCCTTCTCTGGTGTGTCTCCGCCTGGATAGACCAGGTAAGCCAGCGGGACAGAAGGGCCTGGGAGCTTAGGTCCCAGGGGAGCCCTGTATGGTTCCAGCCCCTGGTGCCTCAAGGGACCAGGCCAGGGGCACCCGGGTGGCTCAGTCGGTTGAGCGTCCAACTTCAGCTCAGGTCATGATCTCACAGTTTGTGAGTTTGAGCCCCGCTTCGGGCTCTGTGCTGACAGCTCAGAGCCTGGAGCCTTCTTTGGGTTCTGTGTCTCATTCTCTCTCTGCCCCTCCCCAACTTGTGCTCTGTCTCTGTCTCAAAATTAAATAAATGTAAAAAAAAAAAGGGGGGGGGAAGCAGGCCAAAGCCATGGCCTGTTTTCCCCGGGCACCTCCTCAGCAGATCACTGTCCACACACCCTCATTTTAGCGTCTGAATGTGGGGAGCCTCATGGTCGACAGGATGGGAGAGATGTGCGGGTTGGGAGCTGGGGCCCAGGGAACGAAAGAGTCTCCAAATTTTCCCGCTAAGTCATCTGTGCTTCTAGTGGAGGAGGGGTGGTGACTCAGGGGCACCCGGGCACAAATGTCCAAGAGGTGGGTGACTTCTGAGTCCGAAGCTGAGCTGTAGATTCATCAGCACGCAGTCATGGGCGGGATGGGGTTCTGCCTGTCCCCTCCCCCTCGGGACAGGCCCAGACCCACTCCTTTGCCGGGGCCCAAGCCCACATCCGGCTGGGACACAGGTTGAGAAAATGGATGGAATGCATTCGAGGGGGTTATCTTAGTGGTGGGAAGGGTCAGATGCTTCGCCAAGATTGGACCGAGAGGGGCTATTTCCTTTGTTTCGTCTCACAGCTGAGGGAGACGCCCCCTCAGCTGATGGTCTTGACATCTCTGTCTATAACCTTAAGGCCCACCCTCGGGCTGATCTGAAGTTCTCAGATGAAAAAGAATGAGAAGTCCTGGCCAGTCCCCAAGGCAGTCACCTATTGGGGTGGGCGTGGGGGATGCCCTTACCATCATCTTTGGGGTATAGAGTCAGGACCACCCACCTCGGCCTCAACCAACGGGGGGGTGGGGGGGTGTTCCTTCCAAAGGGCTTCTCCCGCCACATGGCCTTGGGTACAGGCAGGGGAACCAGCCAGGCTCCTGGGCCTTCGACAGGGCTGACATCACTGGCTGGCTCTTGGAACTCTGGAAACCAGGGGCCAGACCCTTGTTTTCCAAGACGCTGAGCCCACTCCCTACCTCCGTGTCCCTCAACTGACCCGCTGGGCCTGAGCACCCTGCTTGGCACATGGTGGGTGCTCAGTGACTAACTTACACTTTAGCTGCAGTGTACAGGTGCTTGACCATGACAGATATGCGGCCATCCTTCTCAAGAGTCATTTCAGCCACAGGTCTACAGGAAAGGGTGTTGTTATGCCCTGGAGGAAGATCAAGTTCAGGGGTGCCTGGGTGGCTCAGTTGGTTAAGCACCAACTCTTGGGTTCAGCTCAGGTCATGATCTCACGTTTGTGAGATGGAGCCCCACATTGGGCCCTGGGCTCCATACCAACGGTGTGGGGCCTGCTTGGGATTCTCTGCCTCCTTCTCACTTTGCCCCTCCCCTGCTGTCTCTCTCTCTCTCTCAAAGTAAATAAATAAACATTAAAAATAAAACTTTAAGGGGCACCTGAGAGGCTCAGTCAGTTGAGCATCCAGTTTCAGCTCAGGTCATGATCTTGTAGTTCACGAGTTCAAGCCCCACGTCGGGCCCTGTGCTGACAGCTCAGAGTCTGGGGCCTGCTTTGGATTCTGTGTCTCCCCCTCTCTCTGACCCCAACGCCACCTCACTTGTGCTGTCTTTCTCTCAAAAATAAATTTTAAAAATTTTTAATGAAAATAAAAAAGATGAAGTTCAGCTAATTAAGTGACCTGAGAAAGCTACACCCATGTAGTGGACTGAATGTTTGTGTCCCCGACCAACTCAGATGTTAGACCCCATCCCAGTGCGATGGTGTCTGGGGTTGGGGCCTTTGAGGGGGTAAGTAGGATTAGATGAGGTCATGAGGGTTTTAGGAGAGCCCAGCAGGGTGCCCAGGTAGCTCAGTTGGTTAAGCAACTTACTCTTGGTTTCGGCTCAGGTCATGATCTCACGGTTCATGAGTTTGAGCTCCATGTGGGACTCCACTGTCAGCCCAGAGCCTGCTTGGGATCCTCTCTCTCTCTCTCTATCTCTCACTGTCTCTCCCCTGCTCACACACACACACATACTCTCTCTCTCTCAAAATAAATAAATAACTTTAAAAAAAAAAAAAAAAGAAGAAGAGACCAGAGAGCTAGTTCACTTTCTGTCTGCCACATGAGGCCACGAGAAGGTGGCCCAGAACAGGGCTCTCACCAGAACCGACCATGCTGGGCGCCCTGATCTTGGACTTCCAGCTTCCAGAACTGTGAGCAACACATTCCTGTTGTTTATAAGCCACGCAGTCAGTGGTAACGTGTTGTAGCGGCCTGAGCTAAGACGACCCCAGTACGGGCCCTGTGGTTCCCACACGGATGGACGGGATGGAGCTCGGCACAGAGGAGAGGGCCACCTCACCTTCCCGCCCCGTCCGGTCTCCTGAGGTCTGGCGTGGCGGGCAGGAAGGGAGGGAGGGGGGCGGGTGCTCAGGTTGTCCCCGCACAGGCCCCCCTCCTCCGGCTCCCATGCACCCCTGTGAGCCCCACTCGAGCCCTGGCAGAAGCTGTTGGCAATTGAGGGACACTGCAGAGATCCTGAGCACCGGCCCTCACTCGGCCCAGAACTGGGGCCCAGATCACGTCTGGGGTGTAACCTTTATCCGATGACTTCATTGCCTGAACTTGGTCTTCCTCAACGCTGAAACGGGCATAAAAATAACATCTCTCCCATTGAGCTGTTCTGAGGGCCCTATAATCGGTCACCCCTTCACCTGTGGGCATCTAAATTCTAGAAAGGCAGAAGTCTGGCCCCTGCCAGGCCTGCGGGCTCTGATCTCAGCTGCCCCAGGCTGAGCCAGGTGTGATCTGAGAGAGAAGTAAAGATGCCTCCAGGCCCAGCCTGGCAACCCCCTCCCCCGCAGGGGCTCCCAGGACCTGCCCCCTCCTCCTCAGGCCCAAGGCTCCCAGGCTGCCCCCCATCATCATCAGTCTTTTCTTACCATCCCCTACCTGAGCCCAGCACCCCTGCCTTCCGCCACGTGTCCCCACCAACCCTCCCACACGCCTGCCCGTGTCTGGCTCCCAGCCCTTCAGAACCCGCTCCTCACCCCGAGTCCTGGCGCCAGAAGCCAGAGAAGGCCCTAGACAAAGGCCCAGGGCGAGGCTCAGCTCCAGAGCAGGGTCCCTGCGAGATCTAGATGGCACTTTTGTGCAAAGAAGGAAAAGTCTGCCTCTCGATAGGCACAGTCTTGACCCGGCGCCTATGGCTTGTTGGCAGAGATGGGGCTGGATTTGAGCGGTCTCCGGTCTCCCCTCACCCCTGCCACCTCCGGGCCCGTGCGAGGTACAACCTACATGACTCTACGTAATGCAGGGGGGGGGGGGAAGGGGGGGCTCAGCTCCAGCCTTATAGAAATGAGGGCTTCGTGTTACCAGTTTCCCATTGCTCAAGCATTGCTAAATGTTGGAGAATGTGTGAAATATTCTGAGTTTTAAATGTTGAAAGTGAATTCGGATTTAATGCACCCAGGGGCCCAACAAATCCCGTAGCGATCATGCTGATCTCCGCTACAGATGCTGGGCCTTAGGATGAGGTGGGCATCAGGCCCGTTGGCTTGATGTCTGCATGGGGGGCTTGTCCCCGTCGGGGCCCCGCGCAGTACTGACCAACCTTCCTGGGGCACCGGGCTCCCTGGGAGAAGGGCACCCGCCTCACACCCCCAGACCTGGCGGGCTCAGACCGCGGCGGCCATACCGGCTTGGGGCAGTGGATGTAGCGGGCCAGGCTGATGATGAGGTCGTGTGTGATGGGGTCCACCAGGTTCCTGAAGCTGGCATAGCGGTACAGAACGTCGTCCAGAGAGGTCGACTCCATGCCCAGGTCCTGCAAGAGTGAAGGATGCCCAGAGGTCAGGGGCGGCCCGGCCTTACCCCGTGAATCCCACCCAGCAGGCCCAGTGCAGCCCTCTGCTCTGGAGGTGGCTTGGGGACCCCTCCGGCACCCTGGCAAGGGAGGAGACCCCCACTCTCTTCAAGGTTCCCCAGCTGCAAGGAACATCTTCCGAACTCCCCCAGGGGGCCAGAGAAGCCCCTGTAGAGATGGCCTTCCCAGTACAGGGATGTACCCCAAGCCCTCCAACCTCTGGACAAAGACCCCCACCCCGAACCCAGGACGAAGCCAAAGGTGGGCTGGCCATGGTACTCCACGGTACTAGCGGCTGCTTTTCCAGAGTCTGGAAACGCCGTGGACAGTAAAGGCCCTGCTCTGTGACTTCTGAGGTCATTTTTACTCCTCCTTCTTGTGATCCTTTGCCTTGAGGGGCTTCTGAATTGTGGGACTGAAACGAGAGGCTAACCAGGCGCCCAGAAGAAAACCCCTCCAGGGCTCCCGTAGAAAGCGTATCCAGTAGGGACAGCATTTCCCCAAGCTTGAGGAGGGACAGGGGTTTGGGGGGCACCACACCCCGAGAGCTTCAGCTGGGGGCCTCTGCAGACTCCCCTGTCCCTCCCCGCAAGGGACCCCATGGGCTTGGCCAAGAACATGGACCAGTGTCATTAGGACCCAGGGGCCCTACTCGGAATGTTCTGGACTGTGTAAGACCCCAAGATTCTTGCACAACAGGGAAAGAGCAGGCTCCCCAAACATGACTAAGCGTGAATTCCCCACCAGTCAAGCTGGGGGAAGCTTGAAACCGCGTTAATCGCTTTGGAGAAGCAGAGAGATGTGGGTTTCTACCCTAGAATGTTCGAATACACGTTATGCCCTCTCTATGTGAGAGAGATGGGTATCCCCTGTGTCTCTGCTCGACCGCCTCTCCCCAATCTCTGTCGTTCTCCGGTGGGGGCTACGGTGTCTTTTCTTAGCTGGTGCCTTGCTCGGACCAGGCGATGGTTAACATTCCCACTCCGGGAAGCAGGAAGGGAGGGGGATCCTGGCCTGGGTTGCCAAGGTCCAGCGCCCTGGGGAACAGGAAATGTGCCCTTAGGGGGTGAATCCAGGAGGGTTTGCTCCCTGCCATTTCAGTGGGAGGTGTCCAGAACTTTTCCAAGCACCCTCCCGTGTGATTTTTAGAAACCCCATAAGGCAAGTAGGCTCTGCATCATTCTTCCCAATTTACGGATGAAGAAACCAAGGCCCAGGATTTCAGGAATGCAACGGACGACACGATGACCATGGTCATCACTGCTGAGAGAGGACACATCCTAGAAGTTCTCAGCACAAAGAAGAAAACATGGTTTTTCTCTTTTCTTTTTCCCCCCCCGTAACCACATGAGATGAAGCTATTAACGTAACTTACTGTGGTAACTATTTCACAGGGGATGGAAGTCAAGCTGTTACGCAGTACATCTTAACCTTACACAACGCTGTAATTCCAGGATATCCCAGCCACAGCAAAAGAGAAATAATCACCTATAATAAAGGTGTTTTTAAAAAAGAATTTCAGGAGTGGGGGGGTATGCCTCAGCGAGAGGATGGGGGTGCTGTTCGGGGATTGCCCTGGTTTATTCAGCACCGGAGCGAGCTGGGCTGGAGGCAGGCTGGAGGTGCAGGGAATCCAGCCCTGAGGTCCTGAGGTTTGGTGGCTGATGTTCCTAAGAGCAAAGAATGAAAGGCTCTTTGCTGGATGGATGGCGAGGGGCCTGGGTGCCATGCTGAGCCCACCTTCCAGCCTGACGCTCCCGGCCATGGCCACGGCCACGGCCACGGCCATGGTAAGGGCACGTGCTCCCTCCTTGTTAGAAGGCAGTGGACACCAGGGCGCCGCAGTTGGTTAAGTGTCTGACTTTGGCTCTGGTCATGATCTCTGCTGTCAGCACGGAGCCCGCTTTGGATCCTCTGCCCCGTCTCTCCGTCCCACTTCCGCGCTCTCTCTCTTTCTCAAAAATAAATAAACATTAAAAAGGAAGAAAGGAATGGATACCAAGGGCCAGTCTTTAGGGCTCTGTCGTCCACTCAGCAGGAATGGACCTCAGAGGCAAGGAGCCCCCCGTGAGGGCCTCTGGCTGCTGAAATAATTTACCGGGGACCTAGGTGCAGGGCGCACGGTCTGGTGTGCATGCTGGCACAGGGAGGCTTCTGACGTGCCGGCTGCCATGCTCCAGAGCTGAAGGCCTTTGCGGGACCAGATACAACACTGTCCTGGACCTCCGTCCCGGCCCTGGCGTATTCCGTCCTCCAGCCAGCGCTGTGTCCTGGGCAAGCTACCTCACATCTCCAGGTCTCAGTTTCCTCATCTGCAAAATGGAGCCAGGGACCCTCCATCATGGGTAGGTGAGGGCAACAAAACCAAGTACCGTATGTAAAGCCTCGGGCAGGGGGCGCCTGGGTGGCTCAGTGGGTTATGCATCTGACTCTGGCTCAGGTCATGAGCTCAAGGGTGGTGGGTTCGAGTCCCATATCTGGTGAGCTCAAGCTCCACTTCTCTCTCACTCTCTTTCTGCCCCTTGCTCACTCGCACCCCCTCTGGCAGGGAAGAATATCACCAACACAGCTCTCCCCACCCCACCTCCTGGCCTCCACCCCCTCCCCTCTGGAAGGCCCCTCCTCTCCTTATGCGATTGTTCTTAGCCACTTCTTAGACCCCAGACCCATTTGAGAATGTGACAAAAGCCACGACCTCTCTCTTTAGAAAACCCGGGATTTGGGCTTCGTGTTCCGCAGGGCCTGGACGCATGTGACCTCAGAACACACACGGTCACTCTGTGACGAGCAAAAATGCATCCCTGTGGCAGGAGGAGGCTAGGAAGGGAGGACGGGGAAGTCACAGGGCCTGTGTTCTGAGGTCTTAGAAGGCCTATGTGTCAAAGTGCCGAGGCTCCCCTTTCCTGGGGCCGGGACGGGAGGGCAGCACAGGGTCCCATAGCAGGAGGGGTGGTTACTGCCACGGTCAGAGGCTGGACTTGTGGCCACAGGAGGACAGAAGACGGGTTTATCTTTCCTTCCCTGCCTGTCCCTCGGTGAGATGTCGACTTCACGCCAGCCTCTGCCTCCCGTTTTGCCCCTGCGGACCCCTGTGCTCAGGGCGCAACCCCACCCCGTGACACACGCCTGCTGGTCTCCCCTTACAGGTGTCCCTGCCCCCTGTGCCTGGATGTCCCTGCAGAAAGCCCCAGATTCTAGGTTCCACCCAACCCCCACACACTGTCAGTCTGTGGGCAACAGACTTCTTCCCTTTGGGATCTGTTTCCCCGTTTGTGAAACGGGCAGATGAACCAATGAACCACACCAGTAGTTACCAAACCGTGTGCCCGAGATCGTGGGGCTGACGGCAAACAGCGGAGAGGCCAGAAGAGTCAGCAAGCCCTCGACAGAGCAGGCCACCCTTTGGCAAGAAACAACAAAAACACAAACAACCTCCCAAAGTCATCCTGTTGCCAAAGCAAAGTTTGAAAACCCTGGACTGGTTGACTGTGGGGCGCCCTGCCCCCTCTCCCCATGTCCCTCCTTTCCAGGCCAGTAGAGGCCATGCCTTCCGGGGAGGACCAAGAAAACCCTCGTTGTTAACCCCGGAGGCCGGGGCAGGTCTGGGGAGGCGCAAAACGTCCTTCCCAGAGCCCCTCGCAGGGACCCTGGGCGCCCAGCCTGCTGACTGGCTCCAGCTGTCTGGGCTCATCGGGCTGATGCTTGGGAAGGGGGAGCCCAGGGGTGGGGGAGGAGGGTCTCCCCAGGAAGGCAGCTGTGGCCCTGCTCCGCGCTGCCCTGCTCGCTCCCTCGCTTCAGGGTCACTGTGAGTCATCCTGCGGCCCTCCCCGTGAATTCCAGCCGGGGTGGGGCTCCTGAAGGTCCCAGGGCTGCGGTTCCAAGAAGCTACAACCCGAAAAACCAGATGGGGGCTGGGCAAGGGCGGCTGCACATTCTATTGCTGGGTTTCTTTGTTTCGACCCCACCTAGGTCCACGCGTGCTTGGGCTGCTCGAGGGTATTTCTGGGCTCCTAGCTGTCCTCCCTGCCCCTCTCTTTGAGGCTAATTTATTGGGGACGCCTGTGTCACAGCTTTGCTCTGATGGCCCCACTGATGCTGCTCAGCAGGGGCCTCCGACACTGGGAGGCTCTCAGGAAGGGACCACGGTGGACAGGTGAGCAGTGCCTGCTGCCTGCACGGGGAGAAGAATCAAATCCACACGGGGCTCCTCCAGGCCTCCCCGGGCACCGCCTTGAACTTGGAGGGGCTGGTCCACCTTGCAAAGTACCAGGCAGGAAGGAAAACAGCTTCCTCGGTACGGTCTAAATGGCAGCCTCTCTAAGAACTGTGCATGTAGGGTTCCTCATCAGAAAGCTTGGGGACATCAGCAGGTGTGCCTGGGTCACCACTGGAGGCAGCTTTGCTTGGAGAGTGTCACCAGCAGGGGACCAGAGCGGCACACTCCATCTCGTCTAAGTGGGCTCCCCATGGTACTTGAGCTTGAAGAACCAGGTGTGGGGACTTGTTCCTATAGGAAGACAGACGATGGACCCGAAGTTAGGGGTAGGGGTGTGGCTTTCCAGAAACTGAGTGGAGATCCACATAGATGAGCATTTCTCAAAGTGGGGTCTATAGCCCCGTTCAGGGGCTTTGCAAGCTCTTCTTTTCTAATGACATGTCAGCGTGACCTAGATTTTCTTTGCAGACTTCAACCCAAACCACCCACTGCAGGAGACCAAACGCCGAAGCAGCAGGTATGAGCATCCGGCTGTCTGCTGTTAAGCCACACATTAAAGAGATTCGAAAAACTGTAAAATAATGCCAGGTTCCTCACTGAAATGTTTTTCTTTTAAAAAATACAGTTAGTTTTGTAAAAATTTATCTCTTCCACATGAGAGATTATTAATTTTACAAGAATGAATAAATCTTTTTTATGTTTTATTTTCATTAAAATTTTTAAAATTAATTTACCTATTTTGAGA